TATATATATATATATATATATATATATATATATATATATATATATATGTATGTTACCGCATAACTTTGGACCACGTTAACCGATTTCTATAATTCCCTTTTTAAAGGAAATGTGTTACCTCACAGATCCCATTCTAATTTGGTTTAAATCCGCGCGCTCTTTCCAATTTGCCGAGCAGTTATTAAAGACGACGTTTTCCCTATATTTTGTTAGACTTTTCATAAGTAAAAATATTTGTTTAATTGTATTTTTGGAATAAACAAAGTTCTTTTTCTTTCTGTAAACCCAGTTATGGTTACATGTGTGTATCTTGGTAACCGCTACACCAATTTCTTTCAAACTCGGCACAGTTGTTGGCCTTGGTATAGCATACGAAATGGCCGACAATTTTTTAAATCGGACAATAACCACGCCCACATCCCATATAACGGTAATTTAGAGAAATACGAAATCTTCGATAAAGCATTTAATATCAAAGATAATTTATTCAAAATTTATTGCTTGAAAACAATTTTTTACCAAGAAATACGTCTATGATAACATTTTGTAAAATGGGCGTGGCACCGCCAACTTATGACCACATATGTGTATCTCGGTAACCGTTCTACCAATTTGTACCGAACTCGGTGTGGTTATTGTGCTTGCCACTTAGAAGCAAAACGTTGAAAATTATTGAAATCGGACTAAAATTATGGCCGCTTTTCATAAAAGAGTAAATTTCAGAAATGCTTTGAAACTTCAATATTTCTCAATTTAACGATGCTAATTTACTCAAAATTGATACACCCCGGCTTACCATGTAGCGATAGCTTTCGGAAAGGTGAAAAACATGTATTTAATACTTGCGCCGGTTATCTAATGTTCGGCTCCGCCCGAAATTGGACTTTCTTACTTGTTTTATTTAATTTTTTTCAGTTCATATTTCCATTTGAATACGCTGGAATGCATCTCGATCGAAGACTAGCATGGAAAACGCACAAATGTATTTACAAAACGCCAAGCACTCGAACTAAAACTCAGAAACTTATATTGGCTTATAAATCGGCACTCTCAATTATCACTTGAAAACAAAGTACTACTCTACTCAACAACCATAAAACCGATTTGAATCGGGTTTCGATACAAGTACTTTTTTCAAAATAATTTTATTCGAAGGAGCATTTTTTTAGGGCTGCTATAAGTTGAACTAATAGTTTATATCGTTGACTAAATTTTGCAAATAACATCTCTTGCAACCTCACAAGTACCACTCTCACTGTTGTATAGCTCATCTAGGGGACAGGTGGTATAAGCTACGGTGCCATCTTCTAAGCAAACATAAAAGGAACGACAAAGATCGCCTATGTTCGCATAGCGTTGTCCTGGTACTGCCTTTTCACAAATCTGTAAATAGATTAAATTATTTAGTTAAAAAACTTTTCCGCAGCTATGCAAAGTAAAACAAAGCCTACATTCTCTTCAAAGCTCACTACTTCAGGTGCGCGCTTCACAGTTACTGCGGGCAAAGCGCATTCTGTAATGTCCTTTACACAACGTCCTATAGATGCATTGAAGAACAGACCATCGGCACATTCATGCACCGTTGGTTTCCCATTCGCACATTGGAAATAAGATCGGCAGTTGTCGGCTGTATATGGATAAAGTGTAGTATCGCTGAGACCTGAGCACGACTGAATGAAACCCCGAAAATAGAAAAACGTTAATATTTACATAACGTACCTTCCCTATATGCATTCAAATAAGTATCTATGTAGCTTCGAATGGCACTAAATTTTAGTACAATCTTACCATAATTTGCGATTCGGTTGACTGTTCCGCGACTGTACCGCACTGATTATTCACATCCTCGGCACATGTGGATAGCATCTTATCGAAGTACTCTTTTTCTTCACATTTCTTGGCAATCTTCTGACCATTGATGCAGACGAAGTAGCCACGGCAGCTGTCGGCGTCACGCACCAATTGCCCATGACGACCGTTGCATTCGCCTACACGTTGTCCATTCTCCAGCAAGCAAGTGCCATCATTTTGACGGCAAAAGCCCAGTAAGCTATCATAGCTCTCTCCATTGCGACAGCGCTGAGACACTGGCTCGCCAGCGTCATTGCAATTAATATAGCGCCTGCAGTCGTCCTGCTCAGCAATGGAAGTGCCTTGGGGTATTTGCGTGCATAACTGAGTATAGTTTGTGGGCTTATTACTGCAATGTAATGCATTCAGCATTACCTTCATTTGACTTGCTGCATCCGCATTTGTTGTATTTTCAATATCCAGCTCATAGGGCTGGCATTGACGTAGCGAAGCATTGAAGTAAAAGTTGGTAAAACATCGCTCATGTCGCAGCTTTCCATTAATGCAAACGTAAAACTCATTACAGTTGGCCGGATCAGAGATCATGGAGCCATGCTTTCCTTCACAATCGGCGGGTTGTGGTGGTTCAGGCTGGTGATTCGATTGATTATTTTCCACATATGGACACGAACCATCGTCTGGCACGCAAAGCTCTTGCTCAAAGTCGAAGAACGCATCCTTTGGACAATTTTTCGTTAATGGCACACCGCCTAAACAGACATAATATTTAGTGCAATCTGCGGTATTAGGCAGATGAATGCCATCCGCAAGGTTGCCACAGATGTGGTTTGTTGTGACATTTTTGGAAGCCTCCGACAGTGTGCCATTTTCACACTGGTGCATTTCATCCAACACACAGCTTCCAAGAGCCGCACTAAACTGTTGCCCCGCAGGGCACGCCACTGGAATGGCCAACCCTCTTACGCAGGCATAATATAAATTGCAGTAACGTTCATGGGGCAAACGTTTTCCATGCTCTGCTCCGGCACATTTTCTAAGCTCTTCTGATCTGAACCGGCACTGACCGCGGTCTATCTGACACTGACTCGTGACATTGTGATAATACTCTCCTTCGGCACATTTTAACCGCTCGGTGCCATTCAGAGTAGAACAGTGGTAGTAGGCTTGGCAATCTTCCGGATCCGCTACATATCCTCCATCGGTAGCACTCGCACATACGCCACTTAGAGGCACCACACAGTTACCGTCGTTCGGGCGACAGTAGCCAAGTCTATCATCGAAAAAGCTTCCACGCACACACTTCTGTTCATTTTCCGCCAACTCTGAGATACAAATAAAAAAATGTAGGCAACTATATGGATGCGGCACAGCACTTCCATCTGCTCGACCAAGGCAGAGGGCGCTGCGGTTGCTTTCAATTTGCTTTTGACCATTTAAATATGCACTCGTTGTAATATTTTCACTTCCTTCTACAGATAGCGGTTGACATTTGTCATATGCATCATGTGGCGCACACTCTCTTGTGAGCTTTATAAAGGTATGACCTTTCAAGCAAGTGCCCTCATACCAGCTGTCTTTCAGACAGTAATAAAATTGAGTGCAATTCTCAGGTAAAGGATGCGCCTTTGTCTCTCCAACGCCACATACTTTGCGAAGACCATTCTCAGCGCAGCTTCCGTCGTTGGGTATGCACATACGCAATGTGTTATCAAAAATCCATGACTGATTGCAACTCGCTCGGATCCATGTGCCGCGCATACAAATCTCATAGGCTGTGCAATTGAGTGGAAAGTCGCGTTTCTCACCCTCGTCGCATTGAGCTTTATGAAATTGTGCGCAAAAACCTTCTTTATCGGATAGGCACGCCCTCTCAGTGGCATTGAAATATTGATGAGTTCCACAATTTCTCAATTCCCAATAGCCTGCTTGGCACTCAAAGTATCGATCACAAGAAAGAGCTGAAGGACGAACGGCACCTTTGTGGTCGCAAGCCTGCATGGAAGATTTATCTTGTATACTCGTATCGAACGAAGTAGCGCACTGTCCGTTTTTATTGGGCATACAATAGTTGTATGTGTGGTTGTAGTACATGCCAAGCGGACAGTACTGGTGCCACCATTTGCCTTCCATACACATAAGATACATCGCGCAGTTTTGCTCATAGCGACGCACTTCCATGTGTCGGCACTTAGAGGAAGCCATACTTGAATTAGGTTTCGTCTCATCATCGATCCCAGTTGCATTTCGCGCCGCACAGGCATCGTCATGTGTACTTGGAATGCATGTTTTCAAGCGTTTAGAATAGAAATAGTGCTTGGGACAGGTTTTCAAACGCCACTTTCCATGGTTGCAGCGATAGTATTGGCCACAATTTGGCTCCTTTACAGGCACCGTGCGTTGCTCCATTGATGCACTACAGATAGGTAGGTTCTTGACACGGGCATAGGCGCAAATGGTGTCATCACGTGGCTCCATGCACTTGCGTTGCTCGGGATTGTAGTAACGTTCGCTCGCGCAGCTTAGCCGAGTCCAAGCGCCGTCAATACATATTTCATACTGGGAACAGTTCGAGGGAACTGACTGTTTTTCGTTATCCATACACAATTTCTACAAAATATAGATACAGGAAATAAATGCATAGGTGCCTTTCACCTGTCAAATCGTCATTTATGGCTTGCCTCTGAAAAAAACACAGTTTTAGTCTTGCTGGACAAAAAAAATACCTACAAGTATCCGAAAAGAAATTTATTTAGAGAAAAGGGTAGGTAATCTAGCCGCGTGAACGAAATAACGGACCATTAATTCGTGGTATGTATACAAGTTGCCGTCTACGTGCTCCACTTGCACTTGAAAGTGTTCACGATCTAATTTGTTTTCGTTAATTTGATTAAACAATTTAGAATAAAAATGCCGAATTTGATTTTTGTCACTTTTATTACATAGTACATGGTTTTCTGTGCATGTGCATTTGAATATCTTATTCGTTAAAAAGTATAAATAGTTTTATGAATTGTCATGATTGTCAAACAAGCGGATTTTCTAATCTACGTACATACGCATGTATATTAAATTAAATTATGTAGCATTGGCTCTAAACAAAAGGTACCGATTCCCAATATATTTTAAAGCAGTAAATAAGTTTTAAAGAGACAAGCCTTGACATATTCAGGATTGAGTAAGTTTTTTAAAGAAATTTTTAAAAATCTTAAAAGATCTTACATCATCCTCTGGAAGAACTTTTGAGCGCATCATGTGTCCAATTGTGTGCGTCCGTTTTTTGTCCACCGGCTGACAAGAAAGACTAACTTGATCGAATGAATTTCCTGCACCACAATCGTGTTCTTGAAGCCGACCTGAGCTGCAGACATAGTACAGTCGGCAGTTTGTTGGGTTTGCTACTAATTGTCCTTCTTTGTAACCTCCTGGACAAGTACAATTGCCTTCAGATTCTGGTGTAGATGTAACCGCTCCATTCACATCACAAATTCCGAGGTCGGGATCAAACAAGGCATCGTCTGGGCAGGAGAAGAACTCAATTTCAGTTGCTGAGAAACAGTAGCAAAAACCGTGCGAGTCATTATTGGCTGCAACGGGATATGTGTTTTCTGAGGTTGCATTAGCACATTTGGATATATCGCATTGCAGCTGAAAGGGATTTATGAAAAGACATATATGTATATACACATGTATGTAAGTATGTTTTGTAAATACTAGTATAAGCCATAAGTTTGGTGTTATTGTATAAAATTAGTGCTTACAGTGGTCGAAGATATGCATATCGCAGTAGTTGGATCGAATACAGCACCACTTGGGCAAGCATGTACTTCCGGCACGCCATTTACGCATATGCAAAATCCTTGCGGATAGTTGTTGGCTGGATAAGCGACGCCATCATTAGTAGCATTAGCACAAACGCTCGAGTCACAAGGATCCTATGAACAGTGGATAAAGTAGAAACT